CTGTCAAGTTGCTCTTCCACATTTTGTCCCCAGATTAGTGGGGAAAGATGAAAGATGTGGCTGTGCAGGGATTAAATGCCTCTTGCTGGAGTAATCTGCAACCCTGAGCAACACCACCAGGCTAACCTTGGCTCTAGCTGTTCTCCTCTTGACATTTCTCTGACCAGCAATGAGACTTAGGAAAAAGGATGAATTTTACGCAGCAGTGGAACCACTAAATAAGAGGTGCTTGGAAATGCTGTCATATTTGATGTATGCATTGGAAATTGCCTAAGACCACTTTAATAAAAAATTAGCTAAAAGCTCCAGTTCATGGATATTTACATTAACGGCAGCTAAAACAAACTATAACATGACAGTGAAAGTATATCTGGAGAGAGACATCAGCTGCCTTTCCTTACAGTTTTATTGGCCAAAACAAAAGTTACAAAAATAACATTTTGAGGGTTGACATAAAATACATCAAATTATACAGAAAAACTGACTAGCATAATACAATTTAGAAAAAGCTACAACAAACAGAAAGAGAAAGGGGTGGAAGGTTTTACAGTGCTAGGGGTCTGTGAAGATCAAATATTAAGGCAGTTTGTAACCAGTATTTAATAACACGCTATATTGTTGGGGTTTAATGCATTGTAGTTATTCCAATCAGCATTAACATGTGTGCTTAAAAAGAGAAAAAGGGCATTCTATTCTCTTACATGGCAGGTTATAAAAAATTCTTTCAATATTACATCCTAAATTGCACAATTGAAATTAAACTTCTCCTCTGTCTTTTCTTCCTTTTTTCTTAAAAAAAACCCCACAAAACCAGCAAAACTAAGAAGAATCTCTATTTTAATAGATGTTATTTTCTATATATTGAATGTTTACAATTAGAAAGTGGTGCATAGTTATATGTATGTAGCATTTTGGCAATAATTTAGTTCTATATATATTTAATCATTTGCTCATCCTCTTACAGCCAGTAGTGTCTTATTGCAGTAGATGAGACTATTCACATACTTGGAAGACAAGCATTTGGAGAAATGTTAGGTTAAATGTCTATAATAATAAATTATTTAAACCAGGGAAGCTCTTCCATTTAAATGGCTTGCTTACCAAGTTAACTGTGGATGGACTGTCATTTGGAGGCTTCTTTTGCATTTGGTGTATTCTGAAAACACTGGGGTGTTCTAAACTAGGTAGAGTCAAGGTCATCTTGTTAAAAGTCTTCTGATTCCTAATATCTTTCGTTAAGAGCTTTGATATATGGTTATCAGCTCTTCCAGTTGTTATTTGCATAGGTAACAAAACTGATTAGCAAACAACTCTTCAGTGGTTTACAATGAGATATCTAGTTTCATAGCAGAGATCCATCGCTCATAGTAACCAATATGCAATATCATAGGCCATCTTGGGTTGGGAGGGGCTGCTGAAAAGGCCTCCTCAAAGTAGCATCAGCTTCAAAGTTACATTGGGTTGCTTTGTGTTTTAGTTGTTTCCATGTAATTTTTGGAATCTCCCATAACTGTAGGGTACAGACTTTGTTCAAATATTTGTTCAAGTATCTGTGTGATTGAAAATTCTTCAGAATACAGTATTACAGAATCTAGTGCCTGCTTGTTTTATGCTGTCCCTGCAGTTTTCTTTGTGATTTCTTGTGTAAAAGAGCTGGATATTTTTGACTGGGCAATACTTATTGTAAGTGGAAGCATGTAGTAGTCTTTGAGGAACGGCTGATATTTTCATTTGAGGAATTTAAGCCCCTTTTGAAAGTTTGTGTGAAATAAAAGTGTAGGACTTTCAAGCATGCTAACAATAAAAACAATAAAAAAGCACTGTATGCAAAATGACTCAAAGCAACTTGCTGCATAATCACAATTTTGATCAAGGAGTTTTACTCAGCTGAGATGGTTACATGGTACAAAGTGAACAAACCACGGCCATTTAACTGTATTGGTCCCAGCGCTTGTCCTCCATCTAGTTTATCTTGAAATGTGCTGTCATTATTGCTAAAGGCCAAAGGTTGTTATGTCACACTGCTCCTTTTTTGGTTTTAGCAAAACTGAACAAGAAATTCTGAGTTCTGTTCAAGAATAAGTCCACTATCACTGGCTAATCAGCCATGGTGCTACCTTAGCTGTTACACTGGTGAGATAGCTATCATTTTGTGTAAATAGATTTTGCATGCAGTCATTGTTCTGCTCATTCCAGGGAAGCACTACAGCAGCTGTCAATGAGCTGTAACAAGATTCCTTCATTTTGCTTTTTATGTAATCAAGTGTCAACTTGCTTTCAGCTGAGAAATTGTTACAGGTTCTAAGTATGTCAAAGATGTTTTCTTTTACTTAACAGACACAGAAGCTTCTTGCTGAATGCTTCAAACAAAATTTTCTAACGAGATGATATAACTGGCTTTCAGTCAGTTTTTGATGTTTTTGTTCATACTATGTTATTATACCACCACAATCTGAATAGACATTTGATGCTTACTATTTTAAAGGTGTTGATCAGTTGCCACTGATCAAGTTTATCACAACAAGCATAGTAATCTTTTCCATCTTCTGTCAAGTAGAATTGATTTGTATATATACCTACTTTAAAGATTCAGGTTCTTTGAATCTGAAACAAATAATCATGTCAATAAGACTGCTTGAATGTCTGCAGATGGTAAATTCTAAAGCATCTGTGGTAAGATTTTCATGCAGTTTTGGTGGTGGTTTTGTGTTTTCTTTTTCTTTTTTTTAATTAATATGAATATTTATTTTGCAACATGGTATAATCTAAGGCTTGCTGAACATGTTCTATGCTGTCCATTTTGTTCAAGCCATGTCAAGTACATCACGACACTGCTACAGATATTAGCAATGTAGCACTAAAATATGTCACTAAGTGCTTTCAATTCTCTGTGGTGCTTATTGATACTCAAAGAAGGAAAAATTGCTATTGATTTGTATAGGTATTGCATGATACCTTTAAAAAATGATAATAGAAACTGCTAAGTCTGTTAAGATTTACTTTGCTTTCTTTATATTATCAAAAGGAGAGTTCTACCAGTATAAATCCAGGCTTACGCATAGAGTTAGGCCAAGGCAGCCTAGACACTGCCATGCCAACACATTTAGGGACTTCAATAGATGAATATAGTGTTGCTAAAAACATACATCTGCAAAAAGCGAAAAAGCATGCAAAAATGAAGATACACCCACATCACTGAAATGGTGATGGACAGGAATATAGCTGCATTGAAACTGGAAAGTGAGAAATAATTTTATGAAACCACTTATATTTGCAGTAACCTATCTCTGCTCTACTGTTGTATTACCTACTTCCCGTAAATACATGTTTACTGCATTCACTCTACAATGAAAAAGAAAGGTCTCACAATGCGCGCAAGCATTTTTATCCAATTAGTTCTAATATGGAGATGCAACAGAGTAAAACAAATCAAAGATACACGAGCATGAGTGTTTAAAGGGTGTTCAGAGAGCAGGTTTTGGTTACAGTGATAGGGAAACAGCATTAGAAACCTTTTGTTTGTGCAATTCACTTGGCATTTCCCTGTAGCTTTTCAGGATTTGGTATTGCTTTAGTTTGAACAGGCGATCTGAACAGTAGTCACTCACTGAACTTCAGAGTGACAACAAAATTTTAAGGACATATTTGGTTCTCAACATTTTAGCCAGTCTCTATTAGCAGAGACCAAGGAACAGTTTATTCACCTTTGGCCTAAAACTTTGTCTGGAGCATTTGACATTTATCACCACCAACAGGAGACATATGCTGTTGGATGATTTGATATGATAAATGGTGTCCTTCAAGGTATCGGTATGGAAAAGGAAGACAGATAGGTGGAAAAAAAGGAAGATACTTCCAGGCTGTAAGAAAGCTAAAGGAGTACTGCAAAAGTTTTTTTAATTTTCAAAGGAATTTAACTACCATGTTTATAGTTTTGTGTATCTTACACACATACTGAACAATGTGAAATCTAAGTACATTCACTCAAAAAAAAAAAAAAAAGGTTAGGTATTGTTTCTGTCCTTTCATAGATGCAAAATCTGATACAGGAAGACTGCTCACAGAGCTGTTTCAAATGCTGATACAACAAAGTGCATATACTTTGACTTACTGGATGAATAAGAATGCTGTAATGAATTTTTGACCATTTCAAACCAACAGCATCAAGTTTCTCTGATTCTCTGACTAATTCCAATTCCACCTAATTCTAATTCACATATACTGAAATGAGATGCTGTATTTTAAACTATGCTTATTTGCTGGACAGAGTGAATAAAATCACACTTTTTATACAAGACTCAGACTGATTTCTGACAGAAATAAAGAAGCTGAATAGGTATTTACTGGGGTATGCATATTGTTAAATGCTGCAATTTACTACCAGTAAATAATTTTTTTTAACAATTCAACTAGGTACAGCAGAACTTTTAGCTTGAAAGTATACATTCAAGCTGGCTGTACTGTTAAAAAAGACATAAGACACTAAAGCTTGAGTTGTTCTTATACATATTTCCTGTATCAGATAAAAGCAATACTGTTGATAGTGACCTTTTCTATTAGTCTACTGGGAGCAACACAGAAATATGAAGGTATAAACTTAGAACTGTTAGACATGCAGAATCAATAGCTTTTGCTTTTTGATAACAGTATACAGATTTTGAACACTATAAGAACAAATAATACAGCTGGAGAATGGCTTTGTTTGAAAAACAATGTCACTAAGAGACTCACTAATAGACAAAGGAAACCAATGTTTCCTACAGTACTAGAAAAGTAGTTAAAACAATCATTTGCTGTTTCTCTGACGATTCAGTGGTAATGCTGAAGAAACATAAGAGGTCGTGTCGCACTTGGATACCTGACATTCTGGAAGGTAGTTCACACACACAGGAAAAAAACACTTTCCTGTCAGCCTAGGGAAATACTTCCCTAACTAGTGCAGGTGCAAGCAGGCTACGGATGGCATCACTCTAGTAAGAGTTTGAGGGGCAGATAAGAAAACATGTTTTTCATGTCACTATACGTTTTGGGAGTTTGTCTCATTAGCAAGAAACAGGCTTAAGACTCATAATGATTCTTTTTCAAAAATCTTTCTGACTGATCCGAATATCAGGGGGTATATCTTAACCCTCTTAGGCACTACAATACCTTTCTAGAGATTAGGAAATGAGCCCTTGCAGTTTCTCTAGCATGGATAGTCTGCTCTGCATTTCTTAATCCCTGTCTTTTTTTTTCTTTTTTTTTTTCCCTGTGCTTGTTATAATAAAGAGTTTAGTGCTCCATGATGTGAAGAATGACTCCTTTGTCTCTTTCCATCTGTTTTGTTCTTGAGCTGAGCTGTTCAAATGTGCTTTCATATGTTGACGAGCTCAAGGGTTTAAGGCCTTAAATAAGGAAAAAAAAAAAAAGAAAAAGGAATGGACTGATGAACTTGATTACACCAAAAAATCAAGAAAGACAATTTAATTTAAAGGTTCCGTCATTACAGAGTCATTGGAAATACTGCTGATCATAATGAATTTGTTTAGTATTCATGGGATGCTACATACATTTCCATAGATTATACTCTTGTGAGATATAGCCTCACTTACCATTGGCTATTCCTACTGAATGAATTATAGTAAACAGTTTTATCAAATGGTGAATTCCATCTATTGCCAAGTGTTCAGGGTACAATCGTTATGCTTGACTAGCCAGATATTTAGCTTCTCTCTGCAACAGAAGTGGCTGACCTCCTGCATAAACATGTGCAATTTACCTCAGGATTACAGTTAATCAGGAGGCTTCTGCACACTGATTCTTTTCTTTCCATGACGTTTCTCTTAAGCATTTTGTCTGCATTAAAAATTATGGGGGAACCTTGCATAAATGTTTTAGGGATATTTTGTAAGCATCATGAAGGTATACGCTTACTAAGGTTCTCTCTTTCTCATTCTCACTCAATGCTACCAGGGCTCTGCAGTACACTGGTGAGCCATTGCACAAACATTCGTTGAAAAGCTCAAAATAGAATCTTATGGGAAGTCACAATGATAATTCTAACTCCATCTGCCTAATATAATGTGCTTTTCCCTTCCTTCCTTTTCCTTCCTTCCTTCCTTCCTTCCTTCCTTCCTTCTTTTCCCCCTCCCCCCCCCCAAAAAAAAGGTATATACAAGATTTAGTAGTAGAAGTACACTCCTTCAAGAGTCAAAAATCACATAATTTTTCTCCCTTTATATGTTTTTCCTTATCTAGAAGCTGTAAGCTCTCACAAATTCTGCAGGACCATTTCAGTGAGAGATGGAAGTGGAGAAGAAGACTAATAGCAGAAAATGGAGAGAGTAGCTATAAATGATCTAGCTGCTGACAGGCCTGGTTTTGCAGTCCTGGGGCTATAGAATATTTACTTGCAAGAGCAACCCACTACTTTTTTTGCACTATACTCCTACTTACAGACAGCAAATGTTGAATATATACCTTGAAGTCTTTATTCTCTGAGTGTTGTCATTCAAGAAGTATTTTAAAAGAACTCTTTTTCTGAGATTTAATGCCTTATTTGGGCTATAACAGTGACAATACTGTGTGTCAAGACCATACTTGTCTGCATACTTATAATACACAAAGCATCTGTGCCTATGCTCTGCTAAGAGCACTGCACAAGAGCTGCAGAGTGCAGGGATCCTGTTGCTGTCCTAATGCCAGCAACAATGCTACTTTTACTAAAGCGTAAGTTAAAAGAAGACCACTATTCCAGCTGCAAGTGGTAGCATTGTCAGCCTGCCTGAAACTTATTTCTTCAGTATTCCAACAAGTTAGCAAGATTTCAATGGCTGTGGGGAGAAGACTGGGGCAGATAAACCCCACCTTTTACGAAAGAATAGCAAGGGAAGCCCAGCTGCTGCAATAGAGCTGTTGCAGAAACATGGGATATTAAAACCCTGAAGCCTCATTAATGTCAGTCCTGTAGTTCCTTTCCTTATGTTTCGAGACCCATCTACCACAGCCTAATTTCTTCATGGTATATGTAAATGAGAAACACTAGCAGCTGTCCCTGATGCACTGCAGGCACAGCAACTACTCTGGCTTTGTTCGGCTGTTCCACTGAGTTTCTCTTCCCCTTTTCTATATATTGTTGCAGAGTGCTATCATATACAAAAAGCATTTTATTAAGCTTGCTCAGTCAGTCAGCAAATATGGCATGACTTAGGACAGATGTTCTAGAACAGCTGGAAAAAACTTGCATAGCAATGGTAACAACCTATGTCTCTCTCTTTCAAGGAGTTAGCAATGTGACAGGGAGTATGTATTACCCACTTGGCCTTAGTTTGCACAAAGTGACCTGTTTCACACGTTGCTGCTCAAGATCCCACTGTGAAAGTCAAATTCTATGGTTAAATACGTGGCTATGCAATGAAATGTTGGAAGGGCTGCTTGAGGTTAGTAATCACCAGCATACACAGCCTTTGGCACATAACTGCCTTATTGCAGTTATGATTGGTCTCAGCTAGAGGAGAGTTTCACGACTATGATGTAGGCAAGATGATACTTGATGGAGCATTTGACATTCTGCTGACTAGAGGGCATGCCTTTTTTGTTTGAACTGGCATTGCCTTAGCCATGCAGAGCACTTTAATTTTTCCCAGCCATATTTAATTTCATAAGAAGTAAGAAACAATAATACGTATGTATATATACGTATATATATGTATTAATTTTGTGTGTGTCTTTGTGGCTGGGAGGGACATTACAGATAACCAATAAAAATCTGGATATTAAGAAAGCCCTTGGCTTTTTTTTATTACTGAACCACTGTGTGACTTCAGTTGCCTGTGCCAGGATTCTCACATCTAGAGAACAGAATACTTGAGGTAATTAATTCAGATCCCCAAACAGACATGCTGAAGATATATGTACAAACAGGATGCGGGTAAATGACCTACATAGAACAGAGACATATATCAAAACAGTTTGTCAGAAGCAGAAATCCTTATATCTTCAAGACAAAACTTAGGAAAGTGAAATAACACATAATCTACACAAGAAAAAAAATCTCAACCCTGCAACAAAATCAGTCACAGAGAAAAATTGTATTAGTCTTACAGAATTTGCATGAAAAAAACAGGGTATGCATGGATGTATACCCTTTTCTAGGCCCTAAATATTGTCTCACATCCCAGGAATAATTCATATTTGGATGTGAACTTTAATATCAAACTCTTAAATACTACTCCTCCGATGTTCTTGCATAGACCCAGTCACACCCATATCCCAAGGTCACTTTATTGGTGCCATCTTTCTGCATATTCTATGAATTAAGTACTAAAGGAGTATGTGACTCACTTTCAGATGATTTTTTTTCTGATTAAAGAGTAGATTAGCTTCACTTTTCATTACATTTTGTTTACACATAGAGTTATGAAGTAAGGAGTGAGTTTTGTTTGCAGTCAGCATTTACAGCTGACTTTTAATTAACTTCGCTTCATAATTTTTTATATAGCACTTTTGCTGAATAATATTTCTATTCCACAATAGCTGAAAGTGCAACTAATACCGCATAGAGGGGGAAAAAATGGCCCTAAATTACTGAACTGTTGTATTTGCAGAAGCTCTCTGCCAAGAGACTTTTCAAAGCAGTCAAACAATAAATTCATTAGAATGCCAAAATAGGGCAACAGGGCCCAGACTTTGATTCCATTGAAATCAGTAGCTGATGTACTGAATAGTCCTAGTATTTGGTCCTTAAAACTATTCAAACATCTTTGGTTCAAGCAAAATAACAGACTATTACTGCAAATCTAACCTTCATTAATTTTTCTATGCACTGAGATCTTTGTATGAATTGGGGAATAGGTTTTTGTTTGAACTGAATACTACTTGTATTTGATTTTTAAAATTATTCTCAATGTTTTATTCTCTCCAGATTTCTATTACTTTCAGTGAACAAAAGTGCAGCTAGTAAACTCCCATATATATATATATATATATATATATATATACATTTCTGTGGAGACCAGGTAGCCAAATGGGTAAAAGTCCTACTTCTATTTCAAAGGTTGCAGGTTCAATCTGACTGAGCTCTGTTTTAATTAAACTTTCTGTTTGCTTCTCCAAAAGCTATGACATATAAGTCAACCATGGTTAAAAAAGGTGGCCATTTACACTTATGGTTAGATGGAGTCCACTCCTTTGTGCAAAACACAGAAGAGAAAAAAAGATCAGGAACAGTTAGCACAGACATGTCTTAGATATCTAAGTACAAAACCACACCGTAGTTCAACAAAAACTGGGCAACTTTCCAGTTCCTAAGCTGTGTATTTGTTAGAAAAGAAGAGTCCTGACATAGGATCTGTATTTCTGATTCCTTATACTGGTTTAAAGCATCTATGGGCCAGGGATGCTGAAAGCAGCATGATATGCAAACACATAATTAATTCACATCTATCTGCAAGCCCTGTGATACTGAAGATTGAGATTGCTGAGAACACCATCAGTAGCAGGCACAATAATTGGGAGTTTCTAGTGCACATCTTTTAGAGAAGTTTTAAATAACTTGTGTTTTATGGGATGTTATAAAAATGACTACATTTGGTTTGAGGTGGATACCTGAAGCTCTGTGCATCTTACAGTCTTTGGGAAAGGGCGAGGTCTGTGACAGACAACAGCAGACAGACTGCTCTTTGGTTCAGTGGTTAACTTGTTCCAGTAGGGGTAATATGAGTAACAGGAGTGCCAAACACAATTAGACATTTGGATATGTTCTACTTCTATGTATCTTTGCAGAGACACCTGAAATTCAGGTCAACTTTTCAGGTTATTTGATCACCCTTACCTGAATGAATGGTGTATAGAACAGAAGGTAGTGCAGCTTAGTGTGTTTCCTGCCTGTGTGTGATTTTAAGAGTATGGGTGGACAGGGGCAAATAATTACTTGTGGAAATAAACAAAAAAACTTATTGGCTTTCACAGATTTATTTCTACAGGCCAAGACAATAGACTTCATTTCAGAAGTAAAGATACAGAGAAAGAAATTTTCTGCAGAATAGAATGCTCTATATCAACGAAGACCAGAAATAACAAGGAACACACATACCTCATTGCAGAGTATTCATCAACAGACAGATGTTTTCTGTATTCTGAGACATTCTTTCAGTGGAGAAAGCAGCCTGTCAACAATGATAAAGATGCAACGGATTTGCAACTGCACAGGAAAGTGACGTGTCTCTATGAAGACTGGAGGTGAAGCAAACGAATATTACTCACTTTATTGAGAGAATGAGGACTAATATAGAGTACAATTAACCTATGTTAACATTCAGACAGTCTGTCTAGTATGCGTACAATTTAGCTAATTAAAAGAAAACAATGTGACCCAGAACTTATCACGTGCAAAAAGATTGAAACAATCAGTCAATCAGTTTGACCATCTAATGAGCTGTCTTTAAAATGGTGGTTGGTTAAATGGTGGAATCAAATACACAAAGTTAAAAATCAGAAACTTAAGCTGTAAAGTGTTCTAAAGCCCACAGAATGCAACTGCAGTTTCAAGGAGACTTGACTAGGGTTTACATGGCTAATTCTCTATGTTTCTGAAGGTCAAGGCCATTTTATTTATTTTTTGAAGGGATTTTATGAGTCTTAAAATTAATTTAACCACTACCTGTGAGTATGTTGGATAATGATTGCTTTTATTGTAGTCTACATGCTATGTGAGGCTCTATGCTTTTAAACCATTTCATTATTTTTTAAGTTTTGGAAGTAGTGGTGTTTTAAAATATATCTTGTTTGAGAAGCACCCAAGTTTTACAACTTATATTTACCTTATCAGCTTGGATGCAGCACTTTATTTTATGATGTATGTACCTTGCAACCACATGAAAGATTTTTTTTATGTGTTAGATGCTTAATGAAAGTTCTTTCACATGTTGTAAAGTCAGCCCAGAGCTAAAATATTGTAATCATTAAACATTTTGGGATAGTTTAGAAGGAATTAGTCATAATCTGGCTTCTTTCTTTATTATTACCCTAATGAAAATTTTCAGAGGGAAGCTCAGACGTGTTCTCACTGACCTGGATAGCTAAGTTACTCGTTAGGATATGAAGCATTTTAATAATATGGAATAATATGAATTTACTATTTGTAGTCCAGAGTCACATGCACTGAAATACACTGCAGTGAGCTATAGCTATGTATAGTGAAGGTCTATCCATTTTTCAGGTTAGAGGAATGGGGTATTGCCAACAAACCATAGATGGTTCTACGTGGAAGTCTGTTTTCTTCTAACCACATATAACAGAGTAATTTGTATATCATATGAATCTTGAAATTTTTATTAGCTACTAATCTCCATGTTCTGGATCACAAAATTTTACTCTTACATGAAGTTTGATTTTGGCTGTTTGTCTGGTTGTTCTGATGCCTAGTGAAGTCAGGACAGGAACATTCCACATGCTTGAATTTTTGTTTGTTTCTTGAGCAATTTTGGCTCTTAGAGATTACATCCTGAAATCCTACCTATTCTTTACTTTTTCCAGAATTAAATTAGGAACAGAGGTATTTTAAATTCTTTTGAACATTGGAGACCTCAGCTGCTTCAGAGAACTTCTATGGCCAAACCCATCCCAGGCAGCCATGAAGAGAAAGGCATTTCAAATTGCATCAGTAACTTCCCCCCCAAGATGCTGTGTTCTGCTGTTTTGTTTTTGTTACTGTCCTCTTCATTTGTTGTTTTATAAGATCTTTTCTCATTAAAAACGAGAATGCTTACCAATTTCCTGAGTCAGACTGTCATACTAATAATAATTGAGTATGTGTCCATGCACGGGGTAACAGGACAAACAGTTAAATTTACTTGAAACCGTATATCAGCACCTGCATTTTCTAAGAGCTTACTGACTCACACAGTGACTGAATCTAAACCTAGCTTTGAACATATTCCTCTAAGATATCAGTTTGTTCATGGTTTAGAAACATTAAGGTTCCCCCTGCGCAGCTAAACAATAACCAGTTGTGAATGAGGTGTTCATATACATGTGTGAAAGAAAGAAAAAAGAAAAAGTTTGCCTGATGTTCAGCTCTGATCCAGACTGTCGGAATTTCACAAAGGTTACACAGTGCTTGCCAGGTTACTGGGTTAGAAAGCAACTCATCTAGTGTCTGCTGCTAGAGAGGCTGCAGCAGCTGCGGAATGATTCATGCTGGGGACCTGGGGGCGGATGGGCTCACATCCTGCTGTTCCCAGACCCTCCCTCCCAGACCACCCCAAGGACATTTCTCCTCCCACTTTCTTGCCACAAGCTTGACTGAAGCTGGGTGCCTCACTAATAATCTGGAGAGGGCAGAAACATGCTGGCATGGTTTGAGACTGGACACATCCTTAAACTTTGAGATGAAATCATGTTCACGCTTGTGCTTCAGAACCAAATGTTTGCAAGGGGTGGGAAGCACTAAGCAGTTTCCACCTCCCTCATATATCCCTGTTGTCTTTTAACTTAATAAACTGACATGGCTGATACAATGACACATAAAATGTTTTGAAGTTGCTTTGGAGAATGGACTGCAGCCCTGTAATGGACTAGGCTGGAAATGAGAAAGTTTCATTGTTAAGGACAACCAGTTGCTTTTCCTGACTCTATTGCAAGCACTTGGGAGACAAATGATGTGCTTTACATGAGCAAGGCCATGGATTATTCTCTTCATTTCCTGAATGGAAGGGAAATTTAAACCACATTTGACTTAGAAGCACAAAACTCTTGGTACATCTGGAAACAAAAATGAAAACCACCTCAAAGAGCTCCAAAAAAGTGTGAAGGAAATGAACTTTATCCTACAATGATCAGAAGGGATATCACAGGACATACTGAAGAATTAATGAAGCACACTTCAAGAACCAAGACTGCGTGACAGGAGGCTGGTTATAACCAGGTTTGCTCAGTAAAATATTAAAGGCCATTTCTCCCTACCCATTTACTTTGACTTACCACAGAGCACTTTAAGAAGGGTAAGAGACTAATAGGTACTGAAGAGGCTGTGACTGCAGAGTGCAATAGAGGGTAATAGCATGAAAGTTCTGCAGAGAAAATTTGGTCAGACTGTGTAAATCAAATAGGGTTGATCCGGAAACAGGCTTTTCAGTAAAGCTGATAACTTTTAAACAGCATTTCATAGATCAGCATTTGCTTTAGAAACAGAATTGTTTTAAAAAACATAAAAATGGCATATTGCACCATTTTATTTATTTTTACTTTGAAAAGGCCTTCAGTAATGTTACAGTATTGCAATGTTTATACAGATATTTTGCAGGCTGGAATGTGACCACAGCTTTTTTACCAAAACAGTTTTCTCTCCCAAGTGAACCTCATGAATCATTTCTGAATGTCGACTTTTTCTACCCACTCTCTATTAAGAATTAAAAAAAAAGTTAGGTGGAAACTCATTCTCTAACAACTTCTATGTGATTTAGTTGTTGGTCTTAAACATGTACTCTATAGTATTTTGCAAATACTGCTGCTTGTTAACTACTCAGATAGAATCAGGGCCCAGAAAAAGTACCCAGATGAGCAACAAGGCTTAGTTATGTTCCTCCAGGTGACCTTGAAGAGCACCGAGTCATTAAAACATGCAATTGAAAGCACTCAAGCACACAGCTTCATTCTTCAACTAAAGCTGAGCTTGGGCAGCTTCCTGACTGCTCAGAAGATCAAAGAACAATTCTGCCTCTCCTTCAGGCATGGTCTTTCCCGAGGCTCAGAGGAGATGATCACCGGACCTGCCAGGGGCCTGTGCGGTGCCCATGAAGGCGGAACACTCAACAGTTAATGCTAGGCTTGCTTGAATAACTTGTCCCAAAGCTGTCACTATTGTGAATATTAATCGTTCCTTCTTAGTCCCATGTTATAATGACCAGTATTTAATATTGAAATAGACAGATGATAAATCAAAGCAGTAAGTGTGGTGAAATCTCCTCAAAATGTGAAATACTTTTTTTTAAAGTAATACAAATCATCCAGAACTGCACCTGTAGGTTTCACTTTTATAGCTCAGAAACAAGAATATTTTGCAATTTCCTTTGAACACACGCTAGTTTAAGGCTGGAAAGGAAGTAGATGCTCACAGGTTTGTGGTACGACTTCTTAAACATACACTTATTTTTTTTTGAGAACCACCAAACTAGACAGTAATACATAAATCACTGAATCTCTCAGTCATTCAAACTGGAACAGACACTGAATACTCCATTCCAGGCAGCAGATCTTCAGACTTTTCTAAGTCCTGAGCTTTACTGGAATGCTGAAAGACACTTTTGCTAAGTTTTGCTATATCAAAGTTTGTTGAGTTACCTCAGGGCTTGTTAGATTATCTTTTAACTGATGATGGGTGAACTGTGGTAGGTTTAGAGATCTGAGTGACTCAAAAGAGATCTGAAATGGTTAAGGTGCTTTCTGAGCACCTTTGTTATCTGCAAGATATGTAAAGCATCATTAAAGAGGGTGAATTCAATGCGGTGGCATTGTTCACAAAAAGAGACACTTTGAAAGATCCATAAGAGTAAAGCCCGTGTTATCACACTTCAGTTATTCTGAATTAAGTTTCAGTAAATTTATAAGATTTTAGTCCTTCACTGGTAATTCAGTAGTTTAGGAGGACTATAGAAGAGACATAAAGACATAGAAGAGCATTCTAGGAATATTCTTACATAAAAATCCTAGCAATAAGAGTGATGCACTTTAAAATCAGCTAATTTATGCTTGACCTGAGCTAGAAACCAATATTCCTGAAGTTGGAGCCTCAGCTCCCCAACAGAATAATTAAACAGATGTTTCTAGCTAGAACATTTGCATTTTATAGTAACATTTTAAGAGTTCACTGTGTCTAGGATTGGCTTTGACTGTTCCTGATTTTGCCTGAAAGAAGAAATTGCTCTGTTGTTTTTTTGTGGGGGGGTTGTTGTTTTTAGCTTGCATGTTTGCTTGTTTGTGTGGGGTTTGGGGGGGGGGTGTGTTTTGTTTTGGTGTTTTGTTGTTTTGGGGTTATTTTTGGGTGGGGAGGTTTTTTGGTTTTTAAGTAGGCAAAAGCAGAAACGTTTGAAGGCACCCAGGAGGTGTAGGATTGTAGAAGCAGTCCTCCTGTTGACACAAGGGCAAGTGATGACAAAAATCCTGTGGA